GCTTGAAGGGTCATGGGTTTTGTCAGCAAGTTACATTAAGTGACAGAATGATGAGTGTGTGGGGGGAAAATTCCCGGTACAACAGATGGCAAGAGTAGGTCGGAGATGGTGGTACAGAGTGTAGCGAAGAGTTTTTCAATACGGTTGGTAAATTCTTGGAAGAGGGATATGATCTGTGTCATGTCAGTGGCGGGGGGTTGTAGGGGGGGCACCGGTGGGAGCACAAGGCCTGGCAGCTTCAGAGTAGAGACGGGGAGGAGGCCCAGTAGTAATTGAGTTAGGAGACGGCCGGGACTGCTGTGTTGTAGCCAGATGAGGCCAGGCAGAGGCAGGTGTTGTTGAAGAAGGCGTTGCTGGAGACACAGGGTACACAGGGGGGTGTGGCCCGGAAGACTGAGGGGGGCGTTGTGGTAGACTTGGCCTTCGGGGAGGCTTTTCCCCTGGGACAGACGGGCGATTGGGGCATTGCCGTTAGTCAGCATTGTGCCGGCCGCCACAGATACAACATCTGGGATCAATTACATAGCCCACCCCACCACTATTAAGGTGGTCTTTGATTTTCTGGGCATAGGCGGCGGAGTTGTGGTTTCGTGAACAGAAGCGACATCTCGGCCGATCACGTCGACAGCAGGCAGTGAAGTTATGACCCCAATGAGAACAGAAAATACAAAATGCAGGCTCAGGATGATAGGCTTCTGCATACAGTGGGGGTAAGAGTGGGTGGGCATCCACAGTGGTTGGGCACTCCCTTCCTTGCCACTTGACAATGACAGCGGTTTGTGGAACTCTCCCCCGGTAATGGCGACGTATACTCAGTATACTAGAGTTAAAGTCACGCGCATCTTCGATGTCAGCATATAAGGGGAAACGTTTCACTAGGATGTGGCAACATTCATCAGCGTCTACAGGGGGGGGGGGGGCCAGCAGGACGACCCCGTCAAAGCCAACAGTACTAAGTGTTTCATAGGCCTCAGAAGTCTGACACTTGATAAAGTTCCGGTTCTTACCTTGTCGAAATTCAATGCTGAAACCGTGCTGTCTGCTGTACTTCGCGGCGTACGTGGTCGTAGGCTGAGAGATTTACGTTTGTTTGGGTAAGGTGACACTCGTAGACGGCACATTGTTTGAGGTGTTGGGAGACACTCAGCGCTGAGTGGATGTGCTGAAAGCAGCAAATGCCAGCACGGCGCAGCTGGAGACAATGGCGATAACAAACGTGTTTATCTCAACATGCCAGAACATAATTTGTGTGTGTGTGTGTCTGTGTGTTTGCAAATATTAAAAGCAATAAATGCAGGGTCACCACTACCTGATTTCACAGGTATATGACTACACCAACACACTCACTGACGCACACCTACACACTCACACACACTTACACACTCACACACATCAACACACTCACACACAAATATAGTGATAATGTTTATAAGGACAGACTGTGGAAAATAATAGAAGGAACTAAACAAACCAGGTAAGAGATTGTTTGATTTAACTAATCTTGAATAAACACTTATTCAGGCAGTTTACTGCCAAGGTATAGAGCCAGATGGGCTGTTAAAGAATTGTTTCAATTTCTCTCTTACATAAAAGGCGTTGATTGGCATTTCCCCCTTGTCCAGCCAAACCAGTAACGTTGTTTTCGAACCTTGAAGGAGTGATGCTTTTAATGTCTTTCACATCTTGATCTCTAATATAATTGTACAAAATGCAAGTTGCAAAAACAATAATGTCAGCGTTCTTAGTCAGTACTTTGAGAGTCCTTTGATATATTTGAAAAGGTAGTATTACTCTGGAGCAAATCAGTTTCTATTTTCAGCAACAAATTATTGAATTTGTGCTTGGACATCCTCCATTATCACCACCTTCCCTCACTATCACCATTACCAATCACCACCTTCCCTCACTATCCTCCTCACCACCAATCTACCCTATCACCACCTCCCTCACTATCACCATTACCAATCACACCTTCCCTCACTATCACCACCTCCCCTCCCTATCACAGTGACAATCACCACCTCCTCACTATCACCAGTGCCAATCACCACCTTCCCTCACTATCACCAGTGACAATCACCACCTTCCCTCACTATCACCACGTCCCCTCACTATCACCAGTGACAATCACCACCTCCCCTCACTATCACCAGTGACAATCACCACCTCCCCTCACTATCACCAGTGACAATCACCACCTCCCCTCACTATCACCAGTGACAATCACCACCTCCCCTCACTATCACCAGTGACAAACACCACCTCCCCTCATCTTACCTCACCGTGTCATCTCTCAAGTTTCAGAAGCTTAACTTAAGACAACTCCCTTGAGGCGTTAGGTTTTCAAGTTAAGGTATTAAATAGAGGCGGTAGTCACTGAAAACGCCATTAAGACTGTAGATTGACTCGTGCGGTGAGGTAATGTGGAATGGGGTGATGTGTGGTAAGGTGTATGGCTGTGTTGTGTGGTAAGGCTGTGTTGTGTGTAAGTAAGAGCTATGTTAATGACAATAGTAAAGAGTGTATGAAACTGTGTTAATATTAGTAAGGCTGTGTTGTGTGGTAAAAGGTGTAAGGCTGTGTTGTGTGGTAAGGCTGTATGTTGCTGTGTGAGTGTAGGGCTGTGTGTTGTGTGGTAAGGCTGTGTTGTGTGGTAAAAGGCTGTGTTGTGTGGTAAGGTGTGAGGGCTGTGGTGGTGTTGTGGTGGAGTGGAATAGGGTGTTGTGGTTGGTAAGGTGTAGGGCTGTGTTGTGTGGTAGGCTGTGTTGTGTGTGGTGGAATAGGGTGTTGTGTGGTAAGGTGTGAGGGCTGTGTTGTGTGGTAAAGGCTGTGATGTGTGGTAGGTGTGAGTGTGTTGTGTGGTAAGGCTGTGTTGTTGCTTGGGCTGTGATGTGTAGTAAGGTGTGGGGCTGTGTTGTGTGGGTAAGACTGTGATGATGTGTGAGCCAGGTGTAAGGCTGTGTGTTGTGTGGTAAGGCTGTGATGTGTGGTAAGGTGTAGGGCTGTGTTGTGTGGTAAGGCTGTGATGTGTGGTAAGGTGTAGGGCTGTGTTGTGTGGTAAGGCTGTGATGTGTGGTAAGGTGTAGGGCTGTGTTGTGTGGTAAGGCTGTGATGTGTGGTAAGGTGTAGGGCTGTGTTGTGTGGTAAGGCTGTGTTGTGTTTAATTTCGGAACTATTTGGCTTCGGATGAGAATAATGCTTCGCTTGTTGTTTTATTGGTTGGTTAAGGTTCTTTGTATGTCTGTCGTGTGTATCAGTGTTATTTTCTATTTTTATTTGGCTACGGAGGAAAATTACCCTAATTGCTCAGAGGCAATTACCCCTCCTTGTTCAGTAGGTAGGGCTGTATTATATATTACTGTGTTTCAGTATTTAATTATTTTTAATATATATTATATATTAATGTGTCATATGTATGTGTTAAATAAATCAGTTTAATGTTGTGTAGAAGTTAGGTAAAATAGCATTGTAATTAGTAACTTGAGATCAGCGCTGTGTCGGTCACTGCTTCACCAATTCCGCTGGGATACATTTATATAAAGATATAATTATGTGGTGTGTACTGATAAAGCAAGGAATATTTAGTAACCAAGTTGGTAAATATTCGTCCATTGGCTGTCAGCAGGTCCTCGCCATGTTTACCTGAGGCTATACTCTTCACTTAGTCTCCTCCTTCCCTCCTTCTCCTTGTAGGTTAGGTTGGTAGGTAGGTTGGTTGGTTCCTTTGGTATCAGAATAGGTTTTTTGGTGTTTTACTTAATCTGAGCTTCATTTTTTTGCAAATTGGCGGTTTTATGTGCAAAAAAGGAACATTTTATTTTTTAACAGAAACCGCTAATTTGCAGTCCTGTACTCCAGTCCTGTAGTGCACTATATAATGGCACCATACATCTCACTGTCCTCATAATTGGTAATTCTTAAACGATGCCTCTAGTCTGCCCTCTGTTCCACTATCATTACTGCCTCTCCCTCGACTGTCAGTAACCACAATTTTCGCCTCCTGGTAAGCGAAGTTTCCCTCTCTCTCCCTCTCTTTCCCTCCCTTCACCTCTCTCTCACCCGTTTACATCTGCACACGCCATCATCACCATTACCTTAAATTACCCTCGCTGCCGCCGCCTCCTCATTCTTCCCACTTAACTATATCCTCCAACTTGTAATTCCTTCCATGACCCATCGTTATTCTCAGAGACTGTTTACTAATCTGACCTTTCCAGTCTTCATGTTTTTACACAAAATAATATCCACAATATATACAGTAGTGCTGTGTGCGTGTACCCAGGCGTACAGTAATGTGTGTCAGCTCCTGTAATACTCTGTCACAAAGGGAAATTTTCCTACTGTGGACCACATTTTGTTGTATTCAAGATGAATTCTTTCTTGTTTTTAGGATAATAAAATTAATAATAATAATAAGTAAAATAAGAATTCAAAAGTGTCTAAATATAGTATTGTATAACCACATAGTTTCAGAATACTAAAAAAAAAATTCAGAATACGAAATATAAATTAGCTAAACATAAACAGTATTTTAAATGAGTTTTATTGTACTGTTTTTAATTTACCTGTATTTCCTCTCATGTTCATCCAGCACTCCCCAATATTATTGACCTTTTTTTATATTATGGGGTTAAAGGGCAAGCACCCCCACTGACCTATATTTTGGGATCTTCTAAGACTTTGAGAGGGTGTGACCAGGTACAATAGCTTGCAGGTGTTCGCTCCATAGTTTATGTATGTAAATTTAATATATATTTTTTTCTATTTACACGTGTTGCAACTAAGGGAGGTTGTTATAGTTAGGGCTGGTATGATGTTTAAGGGAGGTGTAATAAACAAGACAGGTATGACATGTACGGAAGTGTGTGTGCGTGTGTTCTAGCCATCTATATCCATACCTGTACGTATTTCAGGAAAGTTGCGTATACCAGGCCAGTCAGTGATCGATCATCGGCACCAATCCTCCTCCCACCCACACCCAGGAGCACCAGTCATAGCGTGAGCGGCGTCGGCCAGCCCAGCACTGCAGGACCAGCACCTCAGTACGGCCTCGACCGTGGCCAGTGAAGGACGTGTTGGTACAGGTGGCCTTCTACCCACTCTCTCACAGGACCCACGCTCACACTCGCCCTCCCCCTTCGTCAGTAGGTTGTGGACCATCAAGATCTGACAGCGATTGAGGTAAATGTTTATTTTTCTATTTATTAAGAGTTGTGTTGGATTTGGGTGTTTTTGAAGAGATATTTTTGCCGATGTAACTGGAGGGGGATTTTTATTAATTTTCCAACTTGTTATCTTTTTGTAACATCTAACACACACACACAAGCAAGAGATTCATTCTGGAATATGTAGTGTGTTGGGGTACTTGTAGCGTCTCTTTGGAATTGTCGTAATTATTTTTATCTTCCGGTGAGTTACTTTTGCGACAGTGATGGTGTATGTAGAATTTGCGTTTGTTCTGTAACTGTTTGTGTTGGGGGAATATTATAGGTATTTGGGAATTTAACTTTTTATTTTAAGGGGTGTAAATATGTTTTAGGCACGTAGTAATTTTTTTTTTTTTTTCAGGGGAGGGTTCCTTTACTATTTGGCAGTTGTTTGTTTTATATGTTATCTGGGTTGTTTGGGTACGTGTTTGTGTCTGAGATACATTGTGATGTTAAGAACAGGTGAGTGTTTGTATCTTATGTCCTCTACAGGCGTGTTTGTTAATGGTTGGGTCGTGTTTGTTTTGGTTTAATTACAGTGTATGTCTCGTGGATTGGGGAGTTGCATTGATGGTTGAGACATTTCTGTGTTTTTGTAGAATGGTGAACCAGAATGAGTACGGAATTTTGGGGACAGTTTGGTTGGCTGTGTTCGTGTTCGAAATGACGTATTGTTTGAGTGGAAGCTGGTGATTGTGCAAGTATTCGATTGGACAGTTATTTATTTTTGTGTGTGTAAACGTCTTCTTTGTGTTCGTTTGTACATCAGTCCGTCTGTGTGTCGGTGAGTCTGAGAGTTATGGACACGGTAACTAGTAAATAGTAGAGCAATTCAACCAAATTTTGTGTATATTATAACAAGATTGCGCAGGAGTTTGATAATCAGGGAACTACATCGTTACTTATCATGACTTGATTTTGCCGCTTACAGCGACTAGTTTATTGTGCTTATCAGTTATATAGGTGTGGTAAGGCGGAAGGCTTACCTACCTGTAGAGACAATAAAGGGTTGCAATGGCCGACTGGATACAATACTCGCTTGTTTTTACCTGGGGCACCCATAAATGACTCCCTATAATCATACTTTTAAGACCATTTTCCACTCTTGCATTGGTTAGTTGTGATTACCTGATGTCAGCTCTCCATACTGCACGGTCTCTTGCAGCCTCTTGTCAGGTTCTTAACTTGTGATTTCTTAAAACCTCTTCCCGTGTTATTCTTGACCAGCTCCTGGCTCCTCTTGCTCCTCTTCACCCAAGTGTACTCCGTGTACCTAGCTGCTCTATTAGCTCTGAACACGTGTTTTATGTCACGTTGCACATCCACTTCGTCATTCTCATTTCAACCCCCCTTTAAATGCCCATGTCTCACTGCCATACTACATCACACTTCTCAAAAGCTAGTTGCATACCTTTCCCACTCTCAGTAAAGACAGCAACTCCCTAAATTTTTTTCAGCCACTTTTGAGTCTTGTAATCCACGTTCCCGCGTTCAAGTGCATCACCTTTATCGATGTTAAGTACTTATAATATTCAACATCGAACCCTTCCGATATTCTTCATAAACAGTATAATTGCATTAGTCAATTCGGTCACCATTGACACATTATTCCAGAGCTTCGTACCGCCTTTACATTCTTCATATTTTTTTTTCTTCACTTATTCTCATTCAATCCTTGGGCATGATCCCTGAGTAGTCGAGATGGAGATGGGAAGTTGGTCGAGTTCAGTAACTGCCCAACTTCCTCAACCAACAAACCAAACAAACCTAATTTGCTTATACTGGACATACACGAAGAATTCAACCAGACGATTTTCCAATTAATAAAAACTTTGACACATTGGATGAAACTCTCTCTCTCTCTCTCTCTCTCTCTCTCTCTCTCTCTCTGACAAAATAAATTATTCTCTCTTTCTCTGACAAGGTGAATTCTCTCTCATATTAATAACTTGACTAACCAAAATCCGGCGACATACTGAATTTTGATGTTTTTTTCTGATGAGATAAAATAATTATCTCTGAAGACCCACTAATGTTTGCTCACTGACCTTGTGTAAAAAAAAATTAATTAAATATAAAATATGTTTGGTTAGGCTACAATCTGCCCTCACTACAATACTGCTCATACTTACAAGGCGGCTCGGTATTGAGACTTTAGGTTAGGTGAGATGGCTCGGGCAGGTGGAGAGAATAGATGAGACCAGTTGGGTTAAGTGAGGCAAGGGTTTGAAAGTAGAGGGGAGGAGAGCCAAGGTTGAGCCAAAAATAACTTGAGTAGAGGTTATTAAAACTAATCTGACGAGTAAGGTAATCACAGCTAACTCATGCAAGCGTGGAAAACGGTTGTGTAAAGCTATGATGATAATGAGTTGATGACATTTACAATAGTGATGTCAAAAAGGTGAAGTGTTTTATTTAAGTGTTATTATGTTAGGTAGGTTCCGAATTGAACTTGGCTTTTAAGTTGTGTTTAGAATCGAACTTGGCTTGATAGTTTACCTAAATATGTCACTGCACTCTACGTTTTGATTTCCGGTTATATATATACAGATATGTATTGACAGATGTTAATACGATTTCAGTTTGTTTTGAGTCAATAACGAGGATAGTCTGTTGTTACTGAGCTTCTACATACGACTTATATTGTTCTTTTGTTAAGTGGGTTGTGATAGCGTGTGTGTGATCTGTGGTGTGAGGCTGTGCTTGCGGCCGGGAGCTGAGCGGTGTAATTCTGGCTGTGTCATACCGCTCCAGGTGATTGATGGAGCGCTCTCCCTGCATGTTTTCCTGTGAACAGCTGGTGACGGGGTGGAAGAAGGATGTGTTTTAAATCCTGTGTTTCGGCATTTCGTAGTGATGGGTAAAGCTATCATGGGGGTGTCTCTGTATGGTATATATGTTTTTGTTTCCATATGTTGTGTCAATATACAATGACACTCACCTGCCCACACCACATACACACTCGCGCGCACACGTATACATGCACTCAGACACGCATGTACACAGTTAATAGAAAGGTCTTATAACATGGAGAACAGTATCTGTTACAGTTAGCCATGGCTGGCGTGTGTACTATACTGGGGGCTAAATTCCTGACCACAGGCATAAGATACACAACATCACATATACTGTAACTCAAAACTGTACACATGACCACCTGCTTAACATACACACATACACAGGTAACAGTAATTCAGTGTTTTGAAGATAGCGTAAGCACTGGGGACATGTGAGTGAGCGAGTGTGGTGGGAGGAAAGAGCTGTATACTGATTGGCCCAAAAGCGATATGGATCAAAAACAATGTGCCACACACTATGATTGGCCGTCTTATGCCTAGACGATATGCGAGACCTCTGCTGATTGGCAATCCCGGGTATTCGGCAACCAGTGGCGTTTTTTAACACCTATTTTTGTGTAATTTCCGCGGTTTGTCGTGAACAGTGAAGTGAACACGAGTGACTGACCATTGAGTGGCAGGAAGAGACAGAGGAGGGAAGGAAAGTGGAAGATGAATGTGCTAAGAATAGGTGGAATGTATAAAGTATTCGTAATGACCATGATAAAAGCCGCTAATGATGTTCAGAATTACTATCGGTATAACCTCTTGAACCAAATAACTTTTTTTTCATTATGAACCATAGTTATTATTGAGTAACATCAGATATTAATCCTATTTTCAGCTGTTGTTTTTTTCAGCCAATCCTTTCAACAAATACTTTATCCCCCTGAACCTTGAAGCCATAACCTTACCGACAACTGTTAAAACCGTTTTTTCTGGTAGATTTAATTTTTTACTTTTAATTATATATTTATTTTTGTATTTATTTTTTACTTTTTTTTTTCTCTCCACTAAAGTAGGTTCCTTCCTGGTACTGCCTCATATAAAATGGCACATAATTATGCCTCAGGAGAGTACACAGGACATATAACGTAGAAACTTGAATAAAAATAATATATATATATATATATATATATATATATATATATATATATATATATATATATATATATATATATATATATATATATATCCAGTTGTTGGGTGTCTGATGACGAGAGGCGAGGACGTAACAGGTGGGAGGACTGGCAGACGTAATAGGTGGGAGGACTAGTAGACGTAGGTGGGAGACTGGGGACGTAACTGGTGGGGACTGTGGTGTAACGGTGAGGACTGGCAGACGTAACAGGTGGGAGGACTGCAGACGTAACAGTGGGAGGACTGGCAGACGTAACAGGTGGGAGGAGGATCACAGACGTAACAGGTGGGAGGACTGGCAGACGTAATGTGGCACTGGCAGACGGGCCAGGTGGGAGGACTGGCAGACGTAACAGGTGGGAGGACTGCAGACGTAACAGGGAGACTGGTAGACGTAACAGGTGGGAGGACTGGCAGACGTAACAGGTGGGAGGACTGGCAGACGTAACAGGTGGGAGGACTGGTAGACGTAACAGGTGGGAGGACTGGCAGACATAACGGGTGGGAGGGGTCGTAACACATGCTGGTCTTGGCTCTTGCTGTTTTAAAATGTTTGGTCGATCTAATTCATCGGTTTGATATGCAAATGAGGACGGGGAAAGTTTTGTCGTTAATATTCATGTGGCTCTAAGTGTGTTTACGGTAGATCGCTATAACCTGGTCTAATAATAAGTTGTAGTGCTTTATATTTTTGTTTTTTATTCTTGAAGACCTCTAAAAGTGTGTGTGTGTGTGTGTGTGTGTGTGTGTGTGTGTGTGTGTGTGTGTGTGTGAGGGACATTTTGTTCTTATTACTGAAGTATTGTGTACGTGTGTGGTGTCTGTATAACATATGTACACCCAAAAACCGTCTTGATTTCATATTGAACCACGAGTAACGTCTAAACTTTATTTGAGTGTCGCGGCCTGGACTATGACGTCATGGAAGCCATCCAGGTCACGCCCCCACTTATCTTTATTGCGTTATACCCTCGGTAAGCCCCCCACTCCCCCGTAA